CAGCAGGTACAAATAGCCTCGTACGCTGTTGACGCTATAGAAGCTGCACTTTCCAAAATTGTCCTCAGGTGTTGATTCAAGTCACCTTACGCCCTCCCCCTCCCCCCCCCCCCCTTCACGGACGGCCTATGAACGTCTTACACTCACCCCGCATCGCGCAGCCTGGCCGTCTCGTTATAGGTGGCGCCACTTGCACGCGGCTCCTCTAATCATAGATCGACCTTGGAAAGCTTCCTCTTGCTGCCTAGTAGTCATCCCGTCATGATGTTTGCTGCTTGTTTTTTTACGCAGCCGCATTCAAGGATATTGCTCAGTTTGTTTTCCTTACTAAACAGAGCTCAGCAATGTCATTGTTCATATACGAACCGAACGCTGATAAGACAAACGTGTTTTATACCAGTAGGTTTGTACGAATTAGGATACTGAAAAACGTCCCAGTAACTACCTAGTTACGTACACACATGTCGGGAAAACGCTTCATGCCAAGTATGTTCATGGTCACAATGATACATTCTCAGTTTTGTGAAACGGTCAAGGGATACAACGGGTTTAAGCTAAAGATACAGTTATTTGAACTACATTGCTTATGGGTGGAACTTAGAGATGATGATGATAATGGTGGCTTAAGGGCGCCGACAACCGAGTTTACTTTGGGCCCATAACAAGGTAATTCTCTAATCGGTAGCGAACTACAAATTGTATGAATGCCTAACTGGACGTCATCAATTTCCCAGCTACGCATTTCCGAATTTGTGTTAACAAATTATAAGCGTCGGAAAAGAGCGTTTATGAGGGCCTCCCAGCGTCCGTATCTTCCGACGGTTTCTGCTGCTGCACTGCTGTCATGTCCAAGATTAGCCTGGATCCGCCTCTGTGCATTTTGACGCAGAAGTGCTTCACGCGTCTGATGCCGCTGATGCCAGCGGGAGAATGTGCGTGCGGCGAGGAGCACGAGCACGACCTCGTTCAGGTCGTGTGTGCTGCTCAGGCGAGTGAGGACTTCATGGACCAACGGCCGTGATGCACCATGACACCATGACACCATGACACCATGACACCGACTACATGACACCATGACACCGTGACGTACTATGACGTACTGTGGCAACCCTACGCCCATGGTTCTGCCCGCATCCATGGCGCTGCTAAACCAATGCGGTTGCCAATATATTAGCTGGTGGTAACGTAACGCATCACACCCGTCCTACTTTGATTCTCCCAGTGGCAAACCGCAGTGCCATTTCAATTGACAGATGATCTGTTGCCCACGGCGCTTATGCTATTGCACATCGCTTAACTTTATTTCGTTTTTAATGGATAGTAAAATAATAAAAAAGCAATTGGCATGCCAGAATGCTACTGCCGGACCTGGCGCCGGCGGGCGGAGTCTGTCGGCAGGAGCATTCTGCTGCTGTGCGTTTTTGTGCGTGTGTGCGTGCGAGCACGCGCACGCGCGTTCCTTTCGACAAATAGTTGCTGCCTGCTGTTCACAATTAACGCAACGTTGATGGCGCCCAGTAACACAATTCGAGACGATTCCAACGCAGCACAAGGGATCTCGAGAGACACCACCTAAGGAAGAGAGCGGACCACGACACGCATTTCCAGCCAGGCGGCGTTTCTTGCCTCTGACCCCTCTCCCGTTGATATATTATCTATCTCCCGTCAATGTATTGTATCCTCTCCCTCTCCCGTATATTTCCCGCAGGCTTTACCGACGCCATCGGCGGGCGGGCGATGGTCATTTTGACACCGAGGCGACAGACACCCATGTGACGTCACAATTACCCGCAGCTGTGCTGCCATCTGGTGCGGCAGACGCCGTCGGGCGCTGTACGCGTGCCACGGCGCGTTGCGAGGAGCCGATCAGCCGAATGGCAGGGATTTAGATAGCAGCTGTTTGCTGACGGATAATCGGGCGATCGGGTCCGCGTCACCTCGCGCCCTGGGACGCGCTGGTGCGCGGCACACAGGCCGTGTTTCTGCCCCAGGCTGGGGTGGCGTAACGGGACGCCAAGTACATGTTTGCGGAAGTTTATGCTGTACTAGGCTACATATTGAGTCTCTGGTAAGAGGGGTTCAGAACAGCGCGCCTCAAAACTGGCACTGCACGCCAGTTTTCAACATTTTAGCGCATTCATTTTTCATCTTTGCTTCCTTTGGGCGCACCTACCATTGCGCCCGGCGGAACGGGGGGCCCGGGCTGGGACACAGCGAAGAGGCAGCGTTTTTAAATTTTATGATTTCGTCGTGGCAGTCACATGATTTCCTTGACGGTGCCCCACGTTGCCGACTTGCTGACTTCCGTTGCTAGTGCTTACTCTGCCACACAACAACCTAGGAGACTGACAGTAGAGGCGGAGAAGCTTGACGCGAGCGTGTGATACGGACAGAACAGGAGCATGTTTTTGAGCTAATGGTGCTAATCGGTCCCGGTACGGCACATAAACGTTACGCTCATCACTTGAGCGTTGCCTGAATGGGCCAAGGAGAAAGAAGTGGGACATCAATGAAGGCAATGCAGACCCTAAGCTAACTCTAGCACCTCCGGACGTACCACTCAGCGTGACATCGGTGCTATCGGTACCGAACACTCGGTCCTGTCCTGTCCGGTCTGGGCCTGAGGGCCCATTTCCCGGGCAGGAACAAATCCGGGACCCACGACTCACGTTGGTCGGGGCTCCTGGATAAATGAGGAGCCCCATGTGTTCGCCAGGGGTCCCACAGTGCTCAGCTGTGGGCTCCTGTGTTGGCAAGTGGCCCTGAGTTGACCAGGGGCAGTGTTCGAGGGAACCCGAAGAGGAACCCAATGGACCCTTCGGAACCGACGATCAAGGGGCCTGTTCCGAGGCGTATGGTTCCTGTTGGAAGGCTGAAGCGCCTGAAGGTCTGGCTGAAGGTCACGTTAAGATCCATCAAACGCCCTTAAATGTCATTCAGCGGACCTCCTAAAGGCATTGAGAACCCCCTGGGACAATGTGGGCCTGTTTTTTTCGGACAGAGCTTACCGACACCGAACAGTTCGTTCCGTGTCGGTCTAAGCCCCTCAGGCCCATTTCCCGAGTAGGAACAGGACCGGGGTCCGCGATTTGCATAGGTTGCGGCCCTTGCAACAATGAGGGGCCCGGTGTCAGCTAGGGGCCAACAGTGTCTAACAGGGGATCGTGTGTCGGCAAAGGGTACCGAGCCGGCCAGGAAAACCTCTGCTGAGCAGGATCTGGTGCTGGAACCCGAATGCCAGAGTGTCTCTTGTGTTGGTGGGGCCTCCGGTAGTGGAAGGAGCCACGAGAGCGTATTGATATTGAGCTTATTATGAAGGTCCACTTTAAGACAATGGAGGGCCCCTGTATCAGTCAGAGTCTCCAGCACGGAGTAGGGGGCTTCCATACCATTTCAGCCAAGGGCCCGTTTAGGGGATGTAGATTGTGGTTTTGGGAGAGGCCAAACTGTGTTTGCAGAATGTCATTTAAAACACCTAGTGGTTATCTCGCCCTCACCCATACATTCATATATATATATATATATATATATATATATATATATATATATATAATATATATATATATATATATATATATATATATATATACCATCCATCCATCCATTCATCCATTAGCGGCTCTGACTGGCTCAGGGTCTATCCACCCATTCATTTATCTACCTGTAGCACACGACCCCTGGGTATTGGCATAGGCTCAGGTCGATGTGTCGAGTGTGAAAACGTCGGCGCGTCGCTGACGGCGCTATGTTGCTGTGCCTTGGAACGGCTGTGTGCGGGGAGCAGGCTAATCTGTGGCCGGTAGGCTGGGCGTGATGATGAAGTCAAGAGGTCAGCGGGGGCCAATTGAACAGAATAGTGAGTAAGTCGCTCATCGAACGTCAATGTGATGGCTGTTAACCATCCACCAGGAGTGAGCTACTCATGTTAGACCAGCCTACCGTCGTACGCTGCGGGTACGCGTTGACTGTAGACACAGTTGTGTGCTCCAACAGCAGCAAAACAAGAAAACTACGCAATTAATCGTTGAAAATATGGCGTGTATATACAAAACAGCACACCGGTCCCATGCCCACCGATCATTTTTGGGGGCGGAGGGAGGGGGAATTATGGTTTTACGGCCTATGAGGCCATGCTTCCTTTCATGCCAGAGTGTGCTTCAATAAAACCTTTGTACCAAACGCCATAGAGGAGAAATGCAAGCCAAAGTATAACATTCCACTGAATTCGCGTTATGGTAGCCTCATGTTTGAATATTTCACCCTAAAAAGTGTTTCAAACTCTCATAGCATTCATTTCACAACCATTTCGGCGATTGAGTGTATTGCAACTCACAACTTATATAAGAAGAGCACCATTACAACTTGGAGAACGCATACGATGGAAAAAGCAAAGCCAAGTGAAAAGTCATACTTTCCTTGTGGCGAGCAGGGAATCAAATGGGATATCTCATGCCGGAACGCCTCCTGCAATTGAAATTCTGAGCTTTTCCGAAAGCTTTCGAGAAAACTGGTGTTGCCGATCACATCTTACGCGTCTGATTGTACGATGAGTGAAAGAAGATAGCACATTTATGTCATAAAAAGATGGCATATTTTCGTTATGTGCTGCATCAAACCGTGAACAAAATGTCGGGAAGTACTGAACTGAAGCTTTGCATTGGTGCTTTCTCTCTAAAACCAAGCCAGATAAGGTGCTTATTTGTATCTGCGTATTGGAATAGCGGGTCGAACATGAAAAAACACACGTGATTCTTTAACGATATTGAAACGGACCTTACACATGGTACACATATTGTGCAAACACACGTTCAAACAAACATAAATACAACATCGCCATCGACGCGCGCACTTTGCCAGAAAATTGCCGCAGGCGCTGAACCAACGAACCAGCGATGCGACCTTGGCGGGCGGGTCGATGCCGGGCGTCACATGGTGCGCGATGGGGAGGGGGGAGGGGGGGAGCCGTCGGCAGGGGGCGGGGCTTCAGTCGGTAGCTGGCGTCGGCGGCAGCGGAATGTCTGCGGCGGCAGTCGGTGGGGTGGCGTGATAGTGAAGCGGAGGGGTGGCCTAGACCCGGCGTACTGCCCCGACAGCCGACGTACTGCCCCGACAGCCGACGTACTGCCCGGACAACCGACATACTGCCCCGGCAGGTCAGTCATCCAGAACTCACCTCCCGCTATTCATTCCAGCCTTTATGAAGGTGTTCATGCACTAATTCAATCGTGTTTATGTTTGGAACTGGCTGTGACCGCCACGCCGAATATCCAAAACCGGCCTGAGCTCCGATAAGCGGCCAACGGACGGAAATCACGCGCGGGATGCACTGCATGAGTGCCTCGGTGTTGTCTGCGCTGCGGGGAGCTGATGTGTGTGCCTGTCCGTTGGCAAGAGCTCAGGAATGGCACAGGGGTTTGGTACATCAGACTGCTGTGCGTTTGTGCGCTGTGGCCGATAGTGACACGGGAGTCCAGACCATATGTCGTTGAACACGACTCTGTAACATTGACCACGGAGGGTGGAGAGTGTATGAGTCGGTACGTCTACTACCTGCCCATTATTGACACTGCAGTTCAGGGGCATGTTCGGTACAGGGAACCGCGCGGCATTGACGCCGGACTCCCGGGAGCGTGCACGTGCGTACAGAGGCGTAATTTCCTATCGACTCCAGCCCGATCCCCCATCCCAGCTCAACTTTGGTTATAACGGTGGCAAAATCTCGGGAGAGTCCTGTTTGTCGGCATATTTTGGGGGTAGGTTAGATCATTGTTTCACTCTCACCGTACCCCCCCCCCCCCAACTCATTTTGTGAAACTGAAGGAGACATGTACAACATCCTGCATGCGACTGCCTGATAGAGCAATGGACTCCTTGCTGGATGCTGGGCCGGCCTGGCCTGGTCCATCCAGGCCGGTCCGTGCCACCGGCTCGGGTCACCTTGCCCGCGGCGTCGCGCAGAGGCGCGGCCCTGCGTGGCGAGCGGTGATTGGTTGGTAACCACGTGACCCATGTCGGGATCGGGTCGCAGGGACGCGGGGGGGGGGGCGGAGCTGTGTCAGCTGTGATGTCTGACGCTCCAGCCCTCTATTACGATGTTCAGCTGTAATGCCTGATGCTCCCTCCCTCCATTACGCTGTCCAGCAGCAATAATACCTGATGCTCCCTCCCTCCGTTGCGATGCTCATACTTACATAATGACGATTTCATCTCCGTTTCCATGCTGTGCAGAGGAGAATCAGCTCCACGGCCTGAATGCTGTTTCAGAGCATGCTTCCTTCGTTCACCAGGCCGCTTCATCTGTCACGCTGTGATGACTGATGCTGATGATATTATGGGGTTTAGCGTGCGCCGCCTTCTATAACCATTTCGCCGCCATAACTGTCAAATGACTAGCGTGACGTGTAGATGCCTCACAATCCTTTGTCAGCTGGAAACAAAACCCGTTGACCCGTAGCCCTGTTCCTCCGGCAGAGCTGCCCTGCTGCTGAGCCGACCGCTGAGCCTGACACTGCTGAGCTGACCACCGAAGCTGACCGCCGAACCTGAAGCTGCCGAGCTGACCCTGCCGAGCTGACCGCTGCACAGCCATGGCCGAGCCGATCGTGCCGCTGGAGTCGCTGCTGAAGGAGGCGCGGGCCGCCTTCCAGGCCGAGTTTGGCCGGCCGCCGCCGCTGGCCGCCTGCGCACCTGGCCGCGTCAACCTGATCGGCGAGCACACCGACTACAACGACGGCCTCGTCTTCCCCATGGTCAGTCAATGCCTACCTCCGCGGAGCACGCGTGGTCGGCCGTCCGCTCCGCGTTGGACCCCCAGACGCGCTTCCCGGCAGACGTGCCCTCCACGTGACCTTCCAGTCTGACCCGGGACGTGGTCCCTTCAGTTCAATGGGTTCCGGATGCAAGAATAGCACCCAGACGCCATTGACGCTATAATGCAGCTGCACTGCGATATTTCGGCATCCTTTTACCCTCAGTTGGCACTCAATACCAAAATGTCGCGTACACACTGCGATGCAGAAAGAAAACCCTACGTCTCCCTGTCCAGGTGCGCAGTATTGGCATTGATTGTGGCAAAGTTGTACAATCTGTCCCGTACGCTGCAGGGCTTATCAGCAGGTGATAATATCCAAAGTGTCATCCTCTGTCGTCTGTTTGGCCTCGTTTGTTCTATATATCTGTAATTTGTTCGTGTGGTGTGCTAAAAAGTTCAGCGAAGGACGTTGTGCATGACTGAGATCCCGTGCGCCGGTGGACTTGAAGGCGAGCAAAGCTGGCGCTTTTAAAGACGTTGCTGCCTTATCAGACATTGCTAGGATCAAGGCCAGCTGATATGATCTTGCTATGCGAAAAGATACCGACGATTGCGTGAGCATGAGCCCATGCTTGATTTAGTGGCGCACGCCTAACTGGCCTATTTTCAATTTAGTAGCGCACGTGTAAGTGGCCCTCTTCACCACGCGATTTCCGCGGTAATTTTTGAATTTTACGTCACACAGCGTACCTTTTTGTGCTCGAGCTTTGAAAGTGAAAGTAAAGTCCGGGCTGATCAGGAACTGGCTACTTACAAACGTCCTCCGTGATGAAAAGCTTGCGTCTATTTCATGGCGTGACCCTGCTGTCCGTGACTTGCGTTAATATGAATGTTAATGAATGCATGAACGGTACGGATGAATCCTTACGTTTGTTGTTGATTGGAGTTTTAAGGCGCGCTGACGTCTGAGGTCATTTTACCCCCATAACAGCAAAACGACTTTTGACAATGGATTTTTAGCTGATAAAAGGCAGACTTCACAAAGTTTCTTGTTTCGGCCATCTTCTTACATTTATACATCTACCCGCCGCTCTGCGCACCTGTCGGCCGAATAACCGCCCCGGTCCCATCTGTGTGCCTCGCGCCCCCGTTTCCTGGAGTCTGGTCCCGTTGTCCTCGTCTCAAGGTCAGCGGGTCATTCGGACGATGGTCGGGGGTGGTCCCAGCGCACGGCCTTGGCGCGCACGTTTCCATCCCGTCGAAGGCTTTATTTACTAATCGCGCTAAGACGCCGCACGTCCACTCGAGAGCCTGCAGTAGCGCAGAGGCCGTGGACGCTGCAGGCAGCGGCTCGTCTGACCGCAGTAGCGCAGAGGCCGTGACTGCCGGGAGTAGCGGCCCATCTGACTGCAGTGAGACTGCCCCGTCCCGCTCATTCGTCCACTCATGACGCTGCAGTAGCGCAGAGGCCTTGCCTATCGGGAGCAGCGGCCCATCTGGCTGCAGTAGCGCAGAGGCCGTGCCTACCGGGAGCAGCGGCCCATCTGGCTGCAGTAGCGCAGAGGCCGTGGCTGCCGGGAGCAGCGGCCCATCTGACTGCAGTAGCGCAGAAGCCGTGGCTGCCGGGAGCAGCGGCCCATCTGACTGCAGTAGCGCAGAGGCCGTGGGTGCCGCGAGCAGCGACCCATCTGACTGCAGTAGCGCAGAGGCCGTGGGTGCCGCGAGCAGCGGCCCATCTGACTGCGGTGAGACCGCTTACTCATGAGGTCACTCGTCCCTGCAGCGGCGACATTGGCCGTCGTGACAGCGACAAGACTAGGGACGCATGACAGCAGAGAACCAGAACAGAACGTGCAAGCTTTGTTGTTTTATTTATTTGGACTGGATCAGATTGTGACAAATGTGTTTATCGCTGCGGTCCTCCGCATGGGTTTCGCTACAGATGGTGGGGGATGATAAGTCGTGTAAGTATTTGGAGTAGCGTTGTGATACTCCACTGCAAACTTCGTAACTCGCGTGAAATCATCAAAGCTAACGGACAATAGACATGAGGGATTATATCAAACGAAATGCATGCGGAATTAAGAATGATTCCGCACTTTCGGCCCGTGAGCCACTTGGCCTCCTTTGCCACGGAGGTACGAAGCTGAACAAAGGCCGGGAAGTCAGCCAAAGTAATGAAATTCAAAATTTTTGGGGCTGCGCGGCGCGCGTCGTCGCACATGACAAGCGACCACAATGGCAATAAGTGGCCCAGAAACTACAGCCTCGCAGGGAATCAAGCTCAGTTGCTAATTACGCTGCCCTCAGCACCTCCCATGCAGAACGCCCCGGTTGTCCTCTGTCTTTATCGCCGCGTGACTGCTACCGCTTCGAGCAGAGTAAGGTGTCCCGTGATGCCATCCCTGACCTACCGCCGTCCGAGATGCCGTCCCTGACCTACCGCCGTCCGAGATGCCGTCCCTGACCTACCGCCGTCGGGGATGTCGCTCCTGATCTGCCGCCGTCCGGGATGCCGTCCCTGACCTGCCGCCGTGGGATGTCGCTCCTGATCTGCCGCCGTCCGGGATGCCGTCCCTGACCTACCGCCGTCCGAGATGCCGTCCCTGACCTGCCGCCGTCCGAGATGCCGTCCCTGACCTGCCGCCGTCCGAAATGCCGCCCCTGACCTGCCGCCGTCCGGGATGCCGTCCCTGACCTGCCGCCGTCGGGGATGTCGCTCCTGATCTGCCGCCGTCCGGGATGCCGTCCCTGACCTGCCGCCGTCGGGGATGTCGCTCCTGATCTGCCGCCGTCCGAGATGCCGTCCCTGACCTGCCACAGTCCGGGAGGGCGTCTCTAACCTGCCGCCGTCCGGGATGCCGTCCCTGACCTGCCACCGTCCGGGATGTCGTCCCTGACCTGCCACCGTCCGGGATGCCGTCCCTGACCTGCCGCCGTCCGGGATGCCGTCCCCGACCTGCCGCCGTCCGGAATGTCGTTCCTGATCTGCCGCCGTCCGGGATGCCGTTCCTGATCTGCCGCAGTCCAGGAGGGCGTCTGGTCCCGGGTGACCCGACCTCTGTCTCCCGTGGTGAAGTCTGAAGTCGGCCGTGTCCTGTGCCCCTCTCCTGGATCCGGGACACGGAACATATCCCTGGTCAGTCCAGTGCGCCATGCCTTGGGCTTTGCATGTCGGTCTGACATAGCCCGTAGTCTCGGCCCGGTGGTGACTGCTCCTTCATAGTACCTCGGCCCAGTCTGATGCATCTGACCCCGCCCCTCCCCTCCCCAACAGTACCTCTGGCCAGTCTGACACATCTGATCCCGCCCCTTGACAGTATATCTGGCCACTCTGACACATCTGATCCCGCCCCTTGACAGTATATCTGGCCAGCCTGACACATCTACCCCCCCCCCCCTGACAGTACCTGACACATCTGACCCCGCCCCTGACCAGTCTAACGTGACGGCTGCTGCCCTCGCAGGCGCTGCCACTCGTCACGGTCGTCGTGGGCGGTCCGTCCGCCTCGGGCCAGTGTCACGTGACGACGCTGGCGGCCGGCGCAGACCAGCCGCTGTCCGTGCAGTTCGCCCCGCCGTCGGCCGCCGCCCCGCTCACCCCCGGCCCGCCCGCCTGGTCCAACTACGTCAAGGGCGTCGTGGCCAACTTTAAAGGTGCGTCAGCAGCTGGGAGAGGCGATGGAGTGACGGTGCGGGTGGCGCCACCTGTCAACGGAGACGGTGCGTCGGTGATACGTTCCTCAGAAACGTGGACATTTCAGATTTCGTTCATGGCGTTGCTTGGAAAGGATGGACCTGAGATGTCCCCCCCCCCCCCCGCCAGTCGTCTACGGGTGTTGCCGTCCTTGTACAAAGCGGCGGAGCGCCTCAGAAAACACGTACCTGCAGCGATGCTGCCCGTTAACCCAGCGGCGAAAACTGAGTTCTTTCTTGACGGAAAGGTCTTGGGATGGAGGAGAGTTGAGGAATTTTTCATGGACGTAGCTGACGAGCGTTACTGCAGCTCGGGTAACAGCCGAAGAGCAACAGCGCACGTTGTGGGAAGGTGCAAAAGTTGATGAACTGGCGGAGAGCGATGCCCGCCCGGCGAGGACCCAGTTCGTGACTTAAGACCCGGCGTCCGTTACTGAACCTTTTGTTTGTGTGCTGGCTTGTTAACGATGTTTCAGTGGGCGTGGACTATGAGCATGGTGGTGAAAACATAAACACGTTGTAAAACGCTCGGCGCAATTTCCCCCGGGCTTAGCCAGCATTTTATCGTGGCCCCGGCCGTGCCCCAGGCAGGCAGACCGATTGGGCATTTACAGGATACCCAGCACGGTCCCAGATGGCCCTTGCTACATATTCTGACGGGCCACGGCTGGGCCACAGCCAGGCTGTCTGCCCGTGACCTAACTGAGCGCCAGCCGGGCACGTGCTGGACAAATACCAGGGCATCGGCGTGACCTGGGCGGACGCTGGGCTCCAGCTGGGGCTCTGCTTGGTCCCATCTGGTAGAAACACTGCATACTAGGTGGACACAGGTCCATGCCAGGTTTGGGGCCCAGAAAGAAGCCTGTGCAGCAGAGCATAAGCTTGTCATGCGAGCAGCGACAGAACAGAACAGAACAGAACAACTGACGGCCAGGAAGTGGCGCAAAAAAGGTGCGTTTTGTGGAAAAATCGCATAAGTCAAGAGTGACCTCTTTTAAAGACAATGCTTTACCTGTACCTAAAGATTCATTCCTTGTACTGCCCTTCGACCACATAAAGGCGTCATGAAAAGGTGGTCGTTACCCTCTCGGCCAAGAGTTCGGCTCCCCGTATACGTATGACACCGAAACCAGGGGTGGATACAGCATGAGATCTCGGGAGGTGCCAAAGCATGTCTGAGAGGGAGGGGAAGTTTCAAAGGTGGCGCAGATTGCACTAAAATCGAAAAATGATTCAAAAATGGATGCTTTCCTCCGGTAAGGGCCGATCTAAACCCCTTGCCTTGTATCCGTCTTTAACGGTACTCGACCGGGCCGCGTTTTAGATCGGACCGGAACACGAGCAGCACGCGAGGGAGAGGTGGGAGGGGGGAGGGAGGGGCGGGCGGGACTGCGTGGTCGGATTATTGGCAGCGTGCCAGGATCAGGCACGAGGCAGCCATGCTCGGTATAGTGCACCGGAAGATGGTCTGAATTTCCCGACTGTCGTCAGGTTTTCGGGCGAGGGATTGAATGGGACAGCCACGGCTTTGTCGTGGATTCACACGCTTACCTGAAGACCCTAAAGTGGCCGACCACCTTCACATTCCTCCGCCAGGCTTGTCAGGCTCCCGGACGGCTATTGGTGAACCCCTGAACCGGCCATGGGTGGGGAACGGGCCAGCTGGCGCCGCTCCAGCGATGACGCTGGGTCTGACCGCGATCAGGTGCCGCCGACGCCCGACCGCCCGGCGGCGGCGGCCTCGGCAGACCTGAACGCCGGCGTGGGCGGCGACGCGGTAACGAAGCGCAAGAGCTCGGTCTGACCGGGCTTGCGGCTGATCCAACTATTTCTTCAGACGGGCGCGATCCACGCATGCAGCAGCATTATGGTTTCTCGGCGTGTTTTTGTATTGCAGATGTGATGTCTCGATTACGTCGCAAACGCATTTAGTACTACCCACATGCAGTAACCGGTAATGGCCCATCGTTCTGCTTTGTCTTGTTGCACCCGCCCACGGCTGGACGTGATCCTGCCCCGGTCGGCAGGTGGCGTGGAGCCGTTCGAGGCGGTGCTGACGTCGACGGTGCCGCTGGGCGCCGGCCTCTCCAGCTCGGCCTCGCTCGAGGTGGCGCTCTACACCTTCCTCGAGGCGCTCACCGGCCGCGCGGCGGAGAGGTGCGGTCCGCCAGGACGCGACGTCCGGCCCGGTACCCAGCGCTGCCAGCGCCGCCCCGCGGCGACCCGGCCGCTGTCGCGTGTGGTGCGACCCGAGTAGCGCGCTGGCTCTGTGCTCGTAGGCACTGGGGTGCACAGACACTGTGTGGCAGATCAGATTTTACGAGCTGTGGCCGAAGGTCCCGTCTGAGTATGGGTTAGCATTGGAGACTTGCTTGGAGACGGTTTAGTAGCTGTGGTATTGAACAAACCTAAATATGAGCAATGAGTTATCTGAAATATTTGGAACATTGCGCTACTGAGGTGCACCATTTTATTTTTATATTTAGTTGCTTTTGCATTGCATTGCACTCAGGCTTAATATCATTGTAATGTTTTTTTTTCGGACAGCGCTGGTTGACTTTTTTGTCATCGCAATACGTGAGCTTTCGCCCTATTTTTGACGAATGCCCCCCCCCCCCCCTCCGAAAAGAACTGGGTTACACGGCTGGCTGTGGCGGAGCAGTTCGTGACCAGGATGTTTCAGCCTTCACAGCTGGCAGATATCCCGCGTTGATCGTCTCGGAAGGCCGGCCAAAATGGACCGATGTACCAGGTTCTGAAATGAAATCAAATGTTAAAGAATCATTCAGCATCAGTTCTAAACAGCTAAATATAACACTATAAGGAACTTTCGCGGAAGGCCCGTGCGGCTCCTTTACAGTGCTGCCACTAGCTGGGGACGAACAGAGAGCAGTCTAGTCCAGCCAGACTGGGAGCCCCACCACCTCTCCCCCCCCCCCCCCATCCGCCCCAGCCCCCGTGACGCTGGTCGCGGCCTGATCTGCGTGTTTCAGAGCTGTCCCTCGCAGTCGCCCCCTGAATCAGCTTGCGCCTCTAGACTGCGTGGCGCCGTCTGCCGCGCGTGTTTCAGCCTGCACAGTTGGGCCCCGTCTGCCGCGTCTGTTTCAGCCTGCACAGTTGGGCTCCGTCTGGGGCGTCTGTTTCAGCCTGCACACCGATTCCCGCCTGTTTGTGTCTGCACATCTGAGCCCTCTCTGTCCCGGTTGTGTCAGCCCGAACGTCTGAACCCTCCCGATCCGCCTGTGTCAGCCTGCACAGTTGAGCCGCGTCCGCCCGCCTGTTTCAGCCTGCGTGAGAAGGCGCTGCAGTGCCAGAAGGCGGAGCACGAGTTCCCGGGCATGCCGTGCGGCATCATGGACCAGTTCATATCGGCCATGGGGCAGGCTGATAACGCGCTCCTCATCGACTGCAGGTGCGGGGGAGGGCACGGTGGTCCTGCGGAATGCAAGTGTGGGGGAGGACGGTGGCGGATGCAGGGGAGAGGGGAGGCACGGGGCATGGACCGCTTTGAGCCTCGAAGGAGCCCGTAATATTCTCTGAAATGGCTGATAGACGGCCAAACGGACGCGGTTTCTTTTTAACACAAAACGCAACCAAATCAGGCGTCTTTTGGACTCCAGCGACCAAGAACAGTCGCGATCGAAAGTGAAGGGCCCATTAGCAGACACAAGTACCTATTCGCTGATGAAAAGCGCGGTGACTCGGAAGATCTTAGTGCTCATTACGCTATCTAGAAGCCCTAAGCTGCTGCCTTGGGTACTATATGCCCACTTGCAGTGTCAACAGGATCGATAAGGAGCCTTTCACATTGCCCTTGTTTTCTTTGCATTTGCTCGGAGGGTCCCGCGCTGTTGTTGAGGCCATATTTTCCAACATGTCAGGGCACTCTTATGCATTAGGGGCCCTCAACGATTCGTCCCATTCGCCGAAAGGCTCTACACGCTACGTACGGGAACCCCATATGGTGACCTACTGGGGGACTCTCAGTTGCTCAGCGGCCGTTCACAGTGGTCGCGGTTAACCTGCCGACAAACTCGTGATATGCCCATGGTCCCACTTCTTTGTTCTAGGGTCCTTTCAACCTCCTTGCACTTGCTGATGGCTCTTTGCTCTTGTTGGGGCCAGGTGTTAACCTGTCCAGGCACAATCGATCGCTCAGGGCTCTCCACATGGGGTCTTGAGTATTTCCTGTTTAAAGGGAGTGTTCTACATTTGTAGAAGCTTTTGAGCTGAAATCGCCATCTTGAAGATAAGTGCGTGCAGTTCACGGCCCCCCCCCCTCTAAAGGCCCTTCTAGTTTCTGAGCTACATGCCCGCGAAGACGCGCAGACTACTTCGGGGATGCTATTGCAAGGTCACCAAGGTTTCTATGACGTAATTATAACGTCATTTAAATCCTGTCATTCCATTGGCCGTGTGGTGCTCAAGGCCAATAAAAATGTCATTGTCGAGTCGTCCATATCTGGCGTTCGATTTATTGTCGTCAGTTGGCTTTCAATCAATATTGTACAAGGTATGATGACGTTATCAGACAATGCCGTATTGTGTAGTATATTTACTAAAGGGGAAAATTGTGTTGTCTAGAGCAGCCGTTTCCTCTTAAAAGCTTAATGGCAGTAAAGCGGGCTTATTTTATCATATATCATGCTTGCTGCAGTATTTTTTAATGTAGAACATCCCATTTAAATGGAGGGCCGTTCGTTCTCGTCGGGGGTCCGTCTGTTAATTTGCTCGGGCACGCTCGATCGTTCGGGGGCCCTCCACATAGTGTCTTGGGTACTTCTTATTTGCTTAGAGGGTCCTGCGCTCCGTTCGAGGGCCCTGTCTGGCTCTGTTTGGGTTTTGTAAACAGCGCGCCAATAAGCGTGACACCTCTCAAAAAGTTGAAGTTCTACGGGTGGGTCATGCCGTCCACTACGTTGGAAATTCCGCATGGCCGGCTTGGTGGTCATTCTGACGCCTTAAAAATGTTCCATGACGCAATCAGATGGTGGCGTGCTGAGGACCATATTTACTTTATGGTGAAATTGCATTGTCTAGAACAGTCCTTTGAAGTTCAAACGATGCTAATAGTTACAAAGGAGCTTATTTCATCATATATGATGCCTTGCTTCCATATCTTCAAATGTGGAATATTCCCTTTAACCTGCCGGCGTAGTCTCGGTTGCTTAAGGGGCCTTCCCACTTCCTCGCGGGACCGTGTACTGTTGCTGGGGCCCATGTAAGTTAACGCACAGAGTTACTCGATGCTCAAGGGCCCACTTTATTGGTCCTTGGCACCTACCCTCTGCACTCATTTCCGAAGGGCCCTTCCCTCTTATCGAGACCGGTTTTGTTTACCTGCCCGGACACTCTTGACCGCACAGGGGTCCACTATAATGGTCTTGGGCACTTCATCTTTGCTCGAAGGATCATAAGCTGTAGTCCGGGGTCCTGTGCGTTCATCTGCCAAGGTGCTCTCAATCGTTGGAGGGCATGGATTGCCATGCCCTGGTCTCAGATTGTTCTAGTTTGCTCAGAGAGTCCTGTACTATGGCCAATGCCCCACATCTTAACCTGCCCGGGCAATCTCGATCGTTTAGGGGCACGTCAAACTGGTCTTGGTTTCTTCTCGCTTTCTCTGAGAACCCTACACTGTTGACGAGCGTCCCTCTGTTGGCCTCCCGCGGCACCCTCGATCGTTCAGGTACCGTCACTATTGGTCTTGTGTTTTCCATTTTATCGGAGGGTCTGTGTCGTAAGCGAGGACCCAAACGCCAGTCGGCCGGGGCACTCTTAAACGCTCCGGGCCGTGTACATTGATCGTGAGGTCTTCCGATGAAGTCTGAAGGGTCTTACTGCGTTACCGAAAGCCCCACATGTACTTGCGAACGCCAGGGTGTCGCGCCTGGTCGTGTCTACGGACGTGACTAGGATAATTCATGTACACAAGTCATAGATCTACACGATGACAAATTCTCCTCGTGTGTTAGTGTTAGAGTATCTGTCGGGCTTGCACCAATGAACGTATACGCGCAATTTCCGAAGATTATTTTACGCGACGCCGACATCGTATATGTCATTTCCTTTGGTTTTTGCTTTCGTGACACTTAGCATACTTGTGCAACACGTTCTCAATACATTTTGAATGTCAATATGTCTTGCACTCCTTCATTACAGACACAGCAGATACTTCCTGCAATTTTCAAAAAAAACTTTCAACTTGTATGAAACTTTTTTACATGCAAAACAGAAAAATCTGTCATCAACTATCAGCTAATGATAGAGTAACCGGCCAGCCGAAACTATCTTTGGAATAAAGTGTCATGTTTAGTTTTAACGCTATTATCAGCCAACTGTAGCTCATTTTGCCACATGTTACCCGAAATGCTTAGCCTCAGAATGACAGGATCCTCCATTATTTGGATAAAATAAACGTACTCCATGTATGTACGCTTGTAGCACATCTAGTTTCGAGAGCTGCGCACAGGAAGAGGATACCAAATGGCATACATACAAATCTTAAGATTAAATGGCTGGCACACGATAATTTGTTTTTTTAAGAAAGCCGTCGGTGCCAAGCGGCTCCACGATTTTCTGTGCCCCCCCCCCCTCCTTAATAAAATCCCGCATCCGTCACTGGGGGGGGGGGGGGGGAGGCAGAGAGTGGTGCGTCAGAAACAGGCCGCCAGTCAGCTGATTTTGAGGTCGGTCGTAGACCATTTTGAAGTGTTTTGCCTTTTGCTTAGCCAATGGCTAGCATATATTTTTTGTTAATATTTTCCTTCAAATGGAGAAAACTTTTCCCCTGCCTCACTGTGTTCAAACTTTCCATTGACGCGTAACCCCCGCCAATGGCGCCGCCTACAGGTCGCTCGAGTCAACGCTGGTTCCGCTGGCCGACCACCAGATATCGGTGCTGATCACCAACTCGAACGTGCGTCACGCGCTGACCGGGTCCGAGTACCCGAGCCGGCGGCGCGCCTGCCACGAGACGGCCCGGCTGCTCGGGGTCAAGGCACTGAGAGATGCTTCGATGGCGCTGCTCGACGGTATGGTTCTGCCCGGCCAAAGCGGTGCCACGCTGGTACAGGCCTGGTATGGCTGTGCCGATGTCCGCTCCTCATTTTCCGCCTTGATGTGCTATCGAAATTCTGGTCTTTTTCGCTTGCGTCTGCACCCCCATCGTACTTCCCCGGTTTCGCCGTTTTGCACCGTTCATGTATTACTCCCCGGTGTGCACACGCGTCCGGGTGGCCGGTGGAACACCCTTCGCTCGGGTGGGGTCAAATTTGCCCCGCTAAGATCTTGAAAACTAAGGAAGATGGAGAGGCCAAATTCACGGGGTAGATTAGCCTGCAGGTGTAGGTCATTTTGGATTGGTGATCTACCCTGACCTTAAATAAGTCCATGGAACATTTCTAATGCGGTCTCTGTCATTACTATATTTGAAATGAGCACCAGAAACTTCCTCATAAAACCAGGCTCTCAAGTAAAAACGCGGGTTAATCTTGACCTTGGTGTGATTTCCGTACCTGACCATGGAACTGGTTGGAATTGGTTCCATTAGGTCACTGAGACTGGTTGCAGTTCGAAATTGAATTGGTTTATTACTTAAGAAACTATTGCAGATAGGTAAGGCTTCATCTAACACTCCGTTGTTGCATCACATTAAACGACTCCCTGGATACACCCTTCGCTGGCAGTCATGACCTGACTTTGAAATGCCACAGGTCAGCAACCTCACATGGTACATGTAATTTTCATATGAACAGATCCGATATTCGATTCTCGACAGCTGTGCAGAAGTTGGCGAGGCTACGTCGCGCCGTTCGGAAACCATTCCTGAAGACCTTCGGGGTCAATTTCACCCCCACCGGAGCGCGTGTTAAAGAAGTCGTAGAGGTCGGGAGGAGAAACGATGAACTTCCTCCCCTTTCCGAGAAAGTCTGGCAATAAGTTTATAATGTAAGAAAAAATGACTTCAAGAAAGGGTTTGTACCTTCCAGACTGTGAAGCGCTTCTACAACACCGCGGGTTTCAACCACCTTTTTGTCGTGACTGCTCTGCCCATCCGCTGGTTTACAGCTGCAGCTTCTAGGAAAGGAAGCTCATTTTAACGGCATTTGGGAAGAAAATATGAACTTTCGTAGATTCTGCAAGATATTTGCAGGGGTAACCGAAAAACTCCAATTTATCTATTCGACTTGAGATATTCATTTCCTGTTGGCTTTTCCGTGCCCAGTTGTCTATGTCGTTCCTAAACCATAGGATAGAGGGGGACCAAGTTCTGGCCTGGGGCTGTCAGTTCACTGTTTTGTTTGATAAATCTGCGGGTAACATTGATATGACGGCGAAGGCTCGGAGATGAAACGCTTACGTCTCGTTAAATTGAGATGAGCATGTCCCTCCACCGAGCCCTCCGCTAGTGGTCGCGCCCGTGGCTGTAACGGCCACCATAACCTGCAGAGCGGAAGGCAGACATCTCTGAGGAGGACTTCCGGCGAGCCCGGCACGTGGTGACGGAGATCGCGCGCACCGAGGCGGCGGCCACGGCCTTCGCTGACGGAGATTACGCCACCGCTGGCCGGCTCATGAACGAGAGCCACGCATCGCTCAGGTGAGAGGAGCACCTCGCTCAGGTGAGAGGAGCACCTCGCTCAGGTGAGTGGCGCCTCGCTCAGGTGAGAGCTGCGCCTCGCTCAGGTGAGAGCTGCGCTTCGCTCAAATGAGAGCCACGCCTCGCTCAGGTGAGAGCTGCGCCTCGCTCAGGTGAGAGCTGCGCCTCGCTCAGGTGAGAGCTGCGCCTCGCTCAGGTGAGAGCTGCGCTTCGCTCAGATGAGAGCCACGCCTCGCTCAGGTGAGTGACGCCTCGCTGAAGAGAGAGAGCTATGCCTCGCTCAGGTGAGGGCTGCGTCTCGCTCAGGTGAGAGCCACGCCTTGCTCATGTGATTGCCACACCCACTAATGCAACGGCTAAGAAACACGCAACACGTCGAGGAAGCAGTGTTTGTGCCTTCGCGAGGAAACCCGCGCGCCAGGTTGAGGCAGACGTTATTTTTCAAATCGGGATTCTGCCCCTGCGTCAGAGATCATGCCGAGGATATGTAAAGCACGTGAGGGGCATGTGAAAGACATGCCTGTCACATGAGACGTCAGAGGCCTGTGCCGAGGCTAGCTGGACGTTGGCGGGCGCAACAGCGTCAGTGTGTGGCCTGCAGCCAGCGATCCTCCCATCCTGCCAGGAACGACTTCGAGGTGTCATGTGCAGAGCTGGACCAGCTGCAAGAGCTGGCCTCCTCGGTGGACGGCGTGTTCGGGTCGCGCATGACCGGCGGCGGCTTCGGCGGCTGCACCGTCACCCTGGTCAGTGAAGCAAGCAGCGGCCGCCAGAGGACGGCCACGCGTCCAAGCAGAGCTTGTCGGAGCGGCCTGATTGGTTGCCTGAGCGAGCGCCGGTCTTGCCGCGCCTTCACCGGCCCCCTGTAGGGCTCGTGATGAGAAGGCCTAAGCTGCAGCAGGCCGTGCGATAGCTCAAACTTGTCCCGCATAAGCCCCTTGTGTCCACATGTCCGTGTATCTTTGCCGAGTTTCGCAAGCCCAAGGCCCCGCCAGTCCGGCCAGTCCGCCAGGGCGCGCAGGGATGTCCCAAAACGCGGGGTTCTTTGTCAAGCTTTGTCCATGCCTCACGCAGAGACGGATGTCAAATGACGTCATCAGTTGAAGTCATCAAGTGATTGGACAGGGCGGTGTTTGCTTACATACCGAGGAAAGTGCTGGAGACCGGGACTTTCTTCAGAATACTCGCCGAGAAGACCGCTAGTCTTCGAACTCTGATTTTTTTCCGTGCCGGAAAATTTGCGCCCCAAATTTAAAGCGTGCCTTTCCTGGTTCCCGCCCCGTGTTGCCTGCTTCATTGGGTGCCTCACTGTCTCACTGTCTCACTGGGTGCCAGCCATCTTTTGCCTCTATCTCTGCCTCTCCATGTTTCAGCTGAAGCAGACGTCGGTGGAGGCCTGCATAGCGCGGATGCGCGAGGGCTTCTCGGGCAAGGCCACCTTCTACGTGTGCCGGCCGGCTGACGGCGCCCGCGTCGTCCCCACGTAGGGACCACCGCAAGGAGGCTGCGCAGGCTGAGCAAGACCGGAGGCTGACTGCGCTGGGGGGAGACGGTGAAATGACACCGCCCCGGGAGACCGTATGGGTACTCAGACCGGGGGAGGCTGCGGGACTACACCACCCAGACTGCAGGAGCACCGAACCGAGGTCGGCAGCACCACACGGAGAGGCTGTAGTGCTGCACGGACCGAGGGAAAGGGAGACGGGGACCGCGCTGGCCGACACAGTGCCGCGCCTGAGCGTCAGGACCAAACCGGTCTGTGTCAGCCCGGAGTGGCGACCCCGGCGACCTCTGCTCGTGTCGCGCGCCCTGCCTGCGTGCGGGAGGAAGGTTAAAAGTCAGGGGTCAGAGGGCGATGTCGTCCGTCGCTCAGGCATTCGGGTAGTCTTTGACTTGGATCACGAAGGAAACGCTCAGCCCAATTTGTTTCAGGTTTACTTGGGGACAGGGCAGGCCATTTTATGAAGTTGAAGGGCACGTGGGCGTCGGCCATTTTGCGCCCATGACTAGAGCTAAGGAAGTGCCACTCAGTGATAATTTACGCGGCTTGAGCGTGACAGAAGTTAATGAGAGACCTTAGTTACAGCTGACTAAATGATTACGAGCACCTGGCCGACATCGGTAGTCCAAACTGACGATTTTTATAGAAGCTTGCACTTAACATTGCCCGCGACTCAGTACAAATCAGATAAAAAGATGGAAGGATCGATTCAGCTAATTAATTCCACCGGCCGTATCCAACTGCGGGCCTCCGTCGACAGGTGTTGGCCGTCTGCACCCGTCTTGTCCGTGTGTGTGTGTGTGTGTGTGTAGGCGTGCAAATGTGCAGAAACCGAGCTGTATCTGGACCACCACTGACGTCGCATGACGGACCAGCCCGATCGCCGCCATTGAAACGCGCAGCTTAGTTTAGGGATAGCAATACACGACCGAACTTGTTGATTGCTTTGGCAGATGCGTCCTCCGTGGTAACCACGCTGGCCTTTTTCTCCGTTTTAGTTGGAGCAGCGATTCGTATTCGATAACCCGACTGCTTCTAGAACCTACATTTTCTGCGTGTCATTGGGGCTCTACGACGCACTCAGCTGCTGAGGCTATATGGCGTCGCCTGCCTCTCACCCTGATACGATGCGCGGGTACCGCGGGGAATCGAACCCCGTATCTCTGGTTTCCCAGACGTGCCGCGGCTATTGCACACGCGTTAACCACTATATCGGCGTCCCATCTCTATTGGAAAGACTCGCCGGCGCGACCGCCAGTCTTCTAGTGCATCACAGAGTGCAGTCCGAAATCGCCACTCGGTTCCACTGTCAACACGTCAGAACGCATACGTGTCTAAAATGCAACATGTCTATTTATTAGCATGATGCAACGTACGCTGGCATTACAAAGCAGAACAAATACCACGAAGAACACACACGCCTGACAAGCTCCACATACGACAAAATAATAACTTCATGGGAAATGGCGTGGCCATGCGATGTGTGGACATTTTCAACGTAAAACAACCGCGCGTCACGAAGTACTCGAGCACAGCACCGCCTGCTTCGACACGGTTACCAGCGCCGGCTGGTCCGACAAGGTAACACCGCTTGGTTCGACATGGTTACGAGCACCGCTTGGTTCGACACGGTTACCAACACCGCTCGCTCGGTTCGACACGTTTACCAGCACCGCTCGGTTCGACACGGTTACGAAACGCCAGCGGACTGTTCAGACGTCAGATCAAAACAACGTACCGACGACGTTGCCCCCAGGACAAACATTGCCCCATAACGGTCATAAGCAGAGCACCATCACACGGGAGCGACACGTGCGAGGAGCGTCACATGACCGAGATGCCGCAGTCCACGTGACGGAGATGCGGGTCAGGTGGCGGAGGTCCAGCTGACAGAGTGGAAATGCAGGCGATATCCAGCTGCATGCCACGGCAGGTATACGGGTCACGTGACGGAGGTGCGGGTCACGTGACGGAGATGAAGCTCGGTGACAGGCTGCCAGGCGCCGGCGGGCTGCTGTGTGACGTCTACGAAATCCGCCTCAGCTGGCCTTCAAGTGTTGTCACAGGCTGACTCAATAATACCATCGACACGTAACAACGTTATAACAAGCAACCATGCCGTGCCCTTAAAAAAACATATTGTCAGAACCACAACGTGGCGCTGGATAACTTAGATATCGAGCGCACCGCCCATCGCGACAAACGGTGTTCGTACGGTCAACACCACGCCCACTCTCGCTCCTCACTACCAGCCCTCCGGGCCAGCCATCAGCGGGCTAGCTCAGCGGTCACCGGGCTGGCACGGGCCTCGCTCACCAGTCCGGAAGCGACACTTCCAACGGTTTTGCAGCGATGCCACACTTTTTTTTGGAGGGGGTGCGGCTACACCAATTACTGGCAATGCCCCATGTACGAGCAGTCTCTCCCCCGGCAGCGACCCGCCGCCGCCTGGCGGCCAACCTTGGTACTGCCAGCGGGGCAGCTAACCGCTACCACGCGGCGATGCCACGAATCAGATGCCAGCTGCGGATGGTTGCTACAGTCCCTCCACTCTGTTGTAAGGCCACGACAGTTTGATGATGAATGGGGCTTGTGGGCGGCGGACGGCCAGGGTTATTTGGCGCCCATAGCGAGATATTTCAACGGGGCGCGCACGCAGCGGAAAATCCGACAACCAGTAGGAAAAAGAAAAGCTGTACGATGTGAGTGGCATCGAGTCGGCGACAATGGTCTAAACCCTCGGCCACCCAGCAGAGTCCGGCCCGACACTAAGCCGCCTATTCCCGTCGGGACAGCATGGACAGGACAGCATGGTGGCCTCATTAGAGGAGTAAGAACGGGGGCGAGCAGCGAGCTGCGAGGAGGGAGGAGGCACGCGACGTCAGGTACGACGTTTTTAAGGAAGCCCTGCTCCACAAGATGCGGACATGTTGGGCGTTGTTGAGGGAAGCTGCATGCGCTATACAGGTCATTACCGCCGGTTTCTGTCGGCTAGAGCACGAACGCCGCCGCGGCCGGCCGCACTCCCGTCCGCCACATTGAGACTTTATGGCGGTAGATGAACTGTTACAAGCGTCATCAAAGAATGCACGATTTTGTCACTTGCGTGTTTGCAGAAAAGTTTAAATACAAGCATCGAGCGTGCAGTTTTGAGGAAGGTACGGCTGTTACGGCCGTGCTGGAATAGCCATCAACCAACGACCAACTCAAACCCCGACTGACGGTTATGACACCAACCGTCTTTGCGTGCAACCAAGACACCCTGGAAGCTGCATCATGTGAGCTGTCTCCGGGAAGTGGTTTGCAGTACAGCGTTTTTTTTTACAGTGCCTAATTAACTAGCGGAAGGTACTTTAATATATGTACATGTATACATATGTGCACACACACCATCTCTATCTCTAAAAAGAAACAAACAGCGTCGTAATATGCCACCAAGACCAAGGAATGCCGGACAATGCATCTCCTATGATGCGATTAGCCGTTGCCTTCCATATAATGTGTCATATGACGGTACGGCATGAAAATGTGACGTCCAAATCAGAAATGGCACATTCGATGTCGGTTTTCAGACATTCGCGGACTCCTCTGATTGCTTTGAAATTCGTCACGAATAATCACCTCACATGGTTAAACCTAGCCACCAAATTTTATAGCATGACGTTCAAACGTTCGCCTTCCAGAGGCATTCAAACTTTGAAAATGACAGCCTCGCACGTGTAAACACATATACATTGCATGTCAGCTAAATGGATGGGAGGCTTCATCGATCACCTTGAAATTTGGCACAAATATGTGCATTGCATATATACAGTTTTTCACCAAGTGGCAATTTGTGACATTAAAATGTTCGCATTCCAGAGGCTCACGAACGATGGGATACATGACATATCTCTAAAACGACACAAACAGAGTCGTAATATGCCACCAACACCAAAAAATGCTGCACAATGTACTTCCCATGATGTAACTAGCCGTTACCTCTCATATAATGTGTCATATGATGGTACCGTATGCAAAATGTGATGCCGTATGCCCCCGGCTCTGCGTCTCCAGTCGATGAATGGTTAGAGTTCTGGTCTCACACTCGGTGAGCCTTGGTTCGAATCTCAACGGCGGCCGCTGTTAGATAGGCGGTTTCATGGTCCACCGGTGCGACGTGATGATGCCAACTCGGTTCACTTCTAAGCGGAATGAATTCCAAGTAGGGATTTTCATATCGGATATCACCGTAGTTTCTAATGCTACGGGGAGGGAGTCTACACCCTACAGAGATATGTAAGATATCCCTGTAGGTTGGCCGCATACAATATCCCGTGAAGGTTGGCAGTAAATACAAATGAGCGTGACACACTGAAGAGCCAGTGGAAATGACGCATACGACGGCGGAGACATGTCGAATTACGTTCGGCAATTGCGTGTAAAAATTTATTGGCGCGTATTCGAGTGCTGCTCAAAGGCGAAGGCACCAAGGCCAATAGGGACGGAACCTGAGCGGTCATGGGTACCGCAGCAGACCAACAACAAGTAAAAGGTCCTCAGAGCAAGCAAAAAGAACTCACGTGGTGGGCCCACGTGGTGGGCCCACGTGGTGGGCCCCTAAACGATCGGTAGTGCCTCGACAGGCTGACCTATGATGCCCCGGCCAAAGCACAGGACCCTGGGAGCAAAGGGGAATTATTCAAGACTATAAATTAATACCCCGTGCAATCAAGAGTGCACGGGCAGGTTAACAGTACAAGTCTCGATGGGAGTGAAAAGTCAGCCACAAATGAGACCAAACGGAGAGAGCCCTCAATCAAAGTAGAGGGCCCCACCTGAGTTACTTGGGATGAAAAAACAGGTTAAAAGTTATTCAATCTGTGGCTGTTACTTACCCCATATGTATTCGGTGGCATCTTGTTTGAGTACCATTGTCCTAGTCCTGTCAACATAGAATGTCTTCAGCATTTTGTGAATGAGATGTGCTAATGCCGCTCAGCACTCACGATGTGATGAGGGATATCAATCCCAGCACAAAAGTAGATGCATCGGTATATACATAGGTATGCAACTGACACATTTGCCTTCTACCACCCTAACTGTGAACAGCAGTGCATGCAAATTTATTCCACCAATGAAAAAAGTGGCGGAACATGTAATGGATACAGCAAAGGCTTTGAGGTTCAATTAGGATTGAGTTACACCATGCTTCAAGCTTCTAATTGACTTGTATTGATCAATGTCTAGTTCATTGAAATAGCAAATCATCGTTGGAGTTTAATCAGAAAGACATGGTTTCTTTCGCTAAGGAGTGCCTGTAATATGTCTGCAAGTACTAGCAAAATAATAAATCAAGCGGATGTTTGTTGTATTAAGAAGACTAATATATTTCAAGCTGTACCCGTGGGTACAACCAGACAGATAAAAATCAGTCAAAAACCAAGCCCTATGACTGCAGAAAATGCTATATATTTGTAAAGTCGAGACACTACCTCTAAATACGCAGCCTTATGCTAAGGGTTGCACGAAACACAGGCCGCTGGACGAGAAGGTTACGAGAACCCATACCGCGTATTACGCAAGAAGATTACCTTCCACAAATATGGGGGACTATGATGACACACATATAACATGAGGCAATCACGTCCAGGCACCCTGTGCAGTGTACTTCTAAGGGCTGTTTAGAGCACAGGGCTACGCCAAGCGCTTCTATAGCTCATACTGGATATCATGCGAAGTAAATTTGCCAGCTGAGATCGGTGTTTATCACAACGAATATAGCAATTTTCCTCAACCAGTCGATGGCTGCCTCATATGAAACATATCGCCTCATATTGCCCCTTGTATGGGTATGAAAGGTTCGTAACGTAAAAGGCTAATAAGAGAGGTAAGTAAGGCTCAAGGTTGCATGAAGTTTAGTATCGCATGGGTCGATAGCTCATTGGTCCA